GTTGTAAAACGTAAATTTGTGATTGACTGACTATTGTCTTTTGTTTGTCTGAATTAGTGTCCTCCAACACTTCTAAAGATAAGGAAACAGAAAACAAAGACAAATAAATTCCTGCACTAGAGTTAGAGTTTTATCTAGTTTAATGTGGCTCTTACTCAGCCTACAGCGCTCCGATTAGTACTCTGTCTGGATTCCGAGCTCAGATGGCTAAAATCAGGTTCGTGAGTAATTTATCACTTGCAAGGGTTTGTGCGTTGTTAATGAAACTAAAGACCTTATCAGTTTGAATTCCAGTAGCCTGTATTTAATTTGAGCCAATAATAGCGTAAAATCAATGTTTATGAACAGGTTAGAGGTAAAACAAAACACCTGGTCATCTGAGTCATCTTTAATAATGGTCTTTGTCTTCAACATGTAAGTCAGTCGGCCTCTTTGTTTACGTTTGCACAGAAATATTCTTCTTATTCCTCAAGATTCCGGACAGATTCCCTACATTCCGTTAAATTTTGCTTCAGATAATGGCTAATGTAGAGTCTTGTAATCTTCTGCAAAGAGTTTTGTGGTTTTACATAAGGGCTTTTTATTCCACCATTTGCTCCACTTAACTTAGTAGCCTCCCTAACACCAGTGGAATACACTTTACTTGAGTAGACAAATCGACCAAATTATCTTTCAGTTTGCAGGGTTTTAGCTAATGTTTCTAAGGCATAACTATATACTTTTTATCGAGTTCAATAAAAAATTTCTTCGTCAAATTGTGGTTTATTTGTGCAGCATCTTGACAATGATATTCAAAATGTAGATGGTAAACGCGTTATTTGAATGATACATCAATATCACTACTTAATTTACACATTCTGTCAAGTGATGATACATTCACCATATGATTAAGATTGCTCAATTTATACCAACTATTTTTCCATGTCCATTGAGGGAGTATTAATGCATTTCCAAACCTTGCTTTTGTTCTTCATTCAAGTATATTTTAAATATCTGAAGGAAAGTAATATAGTTGGTTAAGGTATTTCAAAGTATGGTATATCAGTTTCAGTAATGAGTATAGTAGGTCAGTCGATCTATGTCATTCCTTGCAGATGGTTTTCCAGTTAAGATACAGTTTCTTATTGAAAGTGTTCAGTGGCTGGGCTGGTACCAGTTGTTCGGGTAAGGTGTTTCACTTATCTAGTGATCGATGAGAAGGGAGAAATCTGACACTGTGTTTATTCGATTACAGCTTTTGAACCTCCAGGCAGTGGCCTCAGAATCGATTAGTTCTGGAGAGGATAAAAGAATGAGACACACTGAAACCCCAGTCGTTATTCAAGAAATGGAATGTCAAAATACGATTATCATTAGTTTCGTGATAGGGTAAAGCAGAAGTGGTTTAGGCATTTTAAGCACTCATTTTAAGTGGGTTTGTAAATACTCATCACTAACTTACATTTCACACACTAGACATGCTGAAGTGAAACATGGTGCAGCCGCGGGACTGCAGAACCCTCGTTGAAGTCTTACATAGGCGCCTTATGAAACTCGAAACAGATCCTCGTCAAGGCATTTAAGTGCTTGGTGAACTGACAGTAACGCGCAAAAACCTTTGGCGGCTGCTGAATTATAACATGCAGTTATTTTAAAGTCATGTTTTACAATCGTTCCCAAGTCTTATTGTTTCTACACTTGTGGTAGCGATGTATCATTGACAGTATACTGTTTACTAATACTTTGTCCCATGCAAATTAGCACACTGTTTATGAATTTAATTTATAGGCTTTAACTATTGGACCGTATAATTGAATCCTCTGAGTCAGCTTGTAAAGCAATATTTCAGCCTTATTAATTATTGTTTTCTAATTTTCTGGTTTGTACATATCGGTTTAGACGAATCAAGATAGCTTAAAAATTCATTTACGAAAAGAATAAACAATAGGACACTCAACATCGTGCCTGTTTGCATATTACTTGCGACTGATTTCTATTTGGATAGTGCCAGTCTTACTACTTCCGTTTCTTGAAATTTCACTTCAATTAATCAAATTTCACGATTATATGAAGTACTAAGTGATAAGAAAGAAAAATATGATATAAAACCTGTAAATATTAAATTAATGTCTACACTTTTATCGTCAATTATGTTATCTGGCAGCTCATATCACATCTAATATTAATAGCTTTAGGTTACCAGTCGTTTATTTGAAATTTTCTGAGGTTTTGTTTAACTCAGGCGATGATTGTTTTCTTTATGAAGTACACAGATCATAATATTTTAGCTTCTAATGGAATTATTTATGTGCATTCCTAATGATCCAAACAAAACTCATAATCAACTGAAAGAATTTTCATTAGTTAGCGTTGAAATTAAACTACTACATTATTACTGAATTAGTGACAGAAACTAACGATACATATTTTTATTTGATAAATCTTATTATTTTTACCTAATGCATGCATGACTATATCAAAGTAGGACATATATATGTGTGTGTATACTCATAAATTTGAAGTTGATAGGTTACAATATTAGGTTGAACTAAAAGAAATTTACAACATATTTTAACTTTATTAGCTGTAATAAAGTCATTTATCCTTATTCTTTTGAAAATGTTTCACTTTATGTCTGATGATAGATTCTTTTTGTCTGAAAAAAAGCAGAACAGTTGAACACAGTTATTCATCAAAAGACATTAAGATTAGGTGGCTAAAAAGGCTATGTATGACCGACTACTCTAATGTTGATCATGAACCAAAGTTTTGTAATTTTCCAAACAGTATAAGTCGTTTCTATTTCAAAAAGCATAACACATTGTCCTGCTGAGAATATATAACTGTCCGGTTTATGTTCAGATATGAGCCAAATTACTATATGCTTTTTTTAACATTATTATATAAATTATAATTCAAGAATGTTATTTTATTTACACAACATAAGAAGTTAAGTCACGTTTTACCAAGAAGATGTTCATAACTTTTAACGACAACAAATTTTGTTGTATGAATGATTACCTACATTGTGGATACTGAAGAAGATAAGAATGAATTACAGATGTTTTATTCTGAATGCACATAATATTTTGCTAATTGAAGCAAGATATGTCTATTTAGAGACCTCTGATGAGATAAGGTTTAAACGTCTCATTCGACGACTGAACTGTAAATCAATTTAGTTTCATGTAAAGTTATCTCAAGTCTTGTGGTGGTGTTTTGTTCTCTGAGCTGGTTGTTTTGGTTGTGGAGCTTTCATTGTTCTTCTGAACAACATCATCAGCACGAACTTCAGATAGAAGTGAAGCATTAGAATTTCTCCACGTTTGGCCTGTAGCTTGTTCTGCTGACCTCGATCTTGATTGGTTGTTGTTGACATTTGACCTGTCGTTGTTTGCAACTATGTTTTGATTGCCTCCCTCTTTTGATCTGTTTCTTGATCTAGTGTCACCTATGATTTTCCTGATTGGTTGATAAATTGGGTCAATGTCGATGTGTTTGTTGATTGCTAATTGACCTGAGTGCCAAGCTTCTAAAATTCTCTAGTGTTCTTTGTCCTCCCCCTACCTAGTATTTCCACGTTGTTCCAATCAAATGTGTGTCCATAATTGTCGGTGTGTATTGATATAAGCGAAGCCTTGTCGTGGCGTTTGACTGCTAATTGATGTTCACGTAAACGGAGCGGAAGAGGTCGTCCACTTTGTCCTATGTAGTGTTTTTCACAATTTGAGCAATTTATTTTGTAGATGATATTTGGTTTTTCTTCCTTTGTCATTTTGACAATCCTCCACCTGAGCTACAAGTTTTCTCCACCATCTCAAAATATCTCAAGTCTCGCTGAAAAGTTTCAGTGTGCGATGCCGAAAAATTCTAATGGAATAAATCTCTGTGTAATTTTACCAGAAGTTTGTCTAAAACAGGTGAACTATGATTATCATTAACAGTTAAAAAGGGATAGAGAGAAAATTAGCTATTTGTTAAAGTTTAATGTTAATTGGGTAAATGATATGTTTGTTGGTAAAGCGAAAAAAGACTAGTACATAGAAAAAAGTTTAGTAATAATTAGGTTAGCAAAATGAAATGCTCCTTAACTGTGTACTGTTTTGGCTTTCAATGCTCACTAATTCCACATGTAAGTATTTTGAATTATTAAGGTTGCAGTTTAAGCAAATAATTAATGGTTGTTAAGTTGAGAAATACATAATTATAGGAATAGCTAATGAAAAATTTCGAAAATAGTTCATTATGAATGGAATTTGAAAATGTAAACTTACTAGTATCTATAATATATGCTATTTCGTATTAATTATTTGTTTAGTCTGACCAAAATCTCCGGCCGTGAAAATTAAATTTCATGCGTTAACTGTTAGTTGATAGTAGAGTTTTTTTTTTCTATTGACAGTTTACTAAGCGTAATATTCTTCCATAGGTGTTTCTTAATCTATTGGTTAGTGATGCATCTTATCAACTGAGATCTGACGTAGGTTAACTATACGAAACTTGGTTGAAAGTTGAATGGACTAAATACTTGGTCAGTGATTTGTTAATAAAAGGATTGTAATGCATGATATTTTCCGTGGAACCGTTTGAAATTAATTAATCTTTAAGTTTTAAATACACATAAGCTCAATGCTAAACGCCAGCCCGTGTCTTACATTGTTCTATGTTAATGGAAATCTGTCAGATCGGAAAAGTTATAGTAATTCAAATGATTTTTAGGTTATACAGTATAAAACTCATGAAACAATACGTATGAGCAGCCCGTTTTCTTTAGAATACTTTAAACGCTAAGATATATCAAAACAGTGCTTTAATTAAATAAGTAATTAGATAAATTTCGGTAAAGATTCGTCCTTATATCTGAATGTCTTCAGAATAAGTTAAGCAATATAATATTAAGCAGATTGAGCTCGATTAGCAAGTCGATAGAGATATCCATTTTCAACCTTGAGTGTTATCTATATAGCTATGAGTGGACTTTAAATTTTCGATGTAATACTTTTTCAATGTAAAAGTGATATATGATAATATTTCGGTTCACAAATTCATACTCAGATTTACAATTGCATTCAATAACTTTTAGCACCAAATACTTCACAAATAATTTAGTAAATAGAAAGTAGACGGTTGATGGTATTAATTAGAAAATAAAACTATTCCAAAGTTATAATGTATTTTTGTAGTGTGTAAACTGATTAAATGTGATATGACAGAAATGGTGACTAAGTGGAATGATGAGTAATTTATTTTTCATTTCGTTATGCTAAAATCATATATCAATGTTATTGTAATGTATTTGTTATTATTTTTCTTAACGGTCGCTTCAGGGCATATTTTGGTGCTATACTTATGTTTCATTTTTGCATTTGTCGTAGCCACCCGTCGTAGTTTTAAGTGTTTCAGTTATTGAAGCCAAAAATTTGGAAGCGAAGGATTTAAATGGTAAGTGTTTCTAAATTAAATATATTGTTGTATGTGAAATACTTTCCAGTATAAAATGTGAATTTTTGATAATTTAAAACAAATTCATTTATACTGGTTAGTTAAATCTTTCTATTGATGTTTGCGATTGCAGTTGATTAGTCTCATTTGGCATTTGTACATACTGTACAGATTGCCTTGACAGTGTTTTTGGTTACAAGCACTATAAGAAGAGGTGGATGGTGGCCAACGGTGAAATCCAGTGGAATCATCAGCTAATAAACCTTGTAACCTAACAGCAATATTGAGGTAATCAGAACAGGATGCGTAAATCCCAAAAGAGACTGATTAATTATAGTTTCAAACATCATTAGGATGATTCAGACAACCGATACAACTGAATTAATCGTCAACCTATTGCACAAGTGAGTAAATATCTGGATTTAGTAGCTAAATGGATAACATGTTTTCATTTTAAGCGAAAGGTAGTGGTTTTGAGTTCAGGAGTGAACGTCAACTCTGATATGAGGAACATATTCACCTTAAACGTACCAAATAGGATGAAACGCGCGTCCTGGATTGTATTGTTAATCACTATCCCCTCTGTTAATAAAACAAATTCAGCTTTTGTAATGAGATTAACCAATAACAGTCTGATTAAAAAAATATGATGTACTCATTCTGTAGTAACAAATGCAGGACTAGTTATCAAGTCGAATTAACAAAAGACTGAAAGATACACAAATTACTATCTTTTATAAATCTAGTGTTTTCCAAATATGCAAAATAAATCGACTACTTAAACACTTAAAACTACTTAATCAGTATGTTTTTATAGCAATGAGTAGATTCAAACCAGATAAAGTGGTTCATTTTCTAGACATACATAAAGAGCCTAATAATTGAACGGATTGTGTACATGCTCGGCAATTAATAAACAGAGCATAAACTTAGCATCATTCAAACTTAGAATAGATTAATAAGACAAATTGTGTATTGAAATTAGCTGCCATTAATGTCAGCTTCATATTCGGAAATAGAGTGGAAGCGATCTACATTGACCCTAAACATATTGCTTGTTTCTGTTACACAAAATTAATTCTATTGTCAAAGTGATTTCATCTTATTCCAGTTATTTTCATTTTATTATTCGTTCATTTACATTTTGACAGACATTTTAATCTTTATTACTATTAAGTTTACTTTGTACTTCTTGAACTCTCATATCCTAGATATCATCAAGCATCGCTTTAGATTTATATAAATTTCTGAGCTACTAGAATACTGAATTGTAGTCATTCGCTTACTTGTTGTTGTTATCAATTACGTTGCTCATAGCTTTATGCGGTTGTAAGCCAAAAAAATAGCCATTCATATCCGTCATATCTGTACTGGATAATAGGTTTACAGAATCTCAAACCAGGTTCTAAGATTAAGGTTGATATTGACTTACCAATAAGCTGTCTGGGTTCATTCTTGCCATATGCGTGCGGAATTATAAAGTATATCCAGTGGTATTAAAAACTCCGGATTAGTAAATTTTTGTATCTTCTTCACTCAATTTCATGTTTGATAGGGATCAACAGTGTACTAATATATTTATTTAGGAAAGAAAAGTCGTGTTTTAGTAATAATTGTCATAAACAAGTTCGTAGAAAATTCTTTCCCACATTTTTCGAATTAAAAATGACAACTAAACAGAGAAGATATAGCGAAAATGTAGAAAGCGTGTTTGCTTGAAAAAATTTTCGTCTTTTCTGAATGAACTCCCTCACATCAGTGAAGACGCTGCGATCAAACAACCTCCAGTGATCGATAAATTTCTGTCACGCATTTACGCAAGTACACGTCGATTATTATTATTATTATTATTCAGAGTTCAAGTTTAGGGCGTTTCCACTTTTCCAGTTTCTTCCTTTACATACAATTCATGTTCTTCATGGATAAACTAAAGAATTCAATAGGTTCAGTGGTTTTAAGCTTGTCTGAATGTATGACACTATATAACGAGTTGGATATAGCAATTTGAATCATTCTTATATCATTAGAATATAAATTCGAATTAAGTATCTACATTTAGCTTATAAGCCATTTTTACGAATAATTTATTAATTTGTAGAAAATCGTAAAATAATTTATTAAAAATATCACAGTCCGTTTTTAATATATATATTCTACGTATGAACTAATGACATCCACCCAAATCGTATGTATGCATAGTGAAGTATAAAATGTAATATCTATTTAATAGGGCAAATAACTTCTAACGAAATAAGCACAGTAAAGAGAATGAGTGAATAATCCAGTTAAACCTATTGGTCCTTTTGTACTCAATCTATCTTGATAGATGTTACATGGAGATCCAGACTGTATTCTTCGCAATTCTCACGTGAATGCTCGTGTTTGCGGCAACTGTTAAGGAATATATACTGTGTTCAGTTTGTTTTTAAATTTCATTTCTGAAACAAAACCTTTTGATCAAAGTTGATGACATTTTCTAAGTTCATCAAGGTATATCATAAAATAGTGAAGTTTTAAAAGGTAATTGGGACTGAATCATAAAATTAGTGACTATGAACCAGAGATGATAAATTTATTTCAATAATACTCATATGATTAGTGAGTATGATGATTTTTAAAGGAATATGTGTATAAGGCTTATCAACACGACTAAGTGTGATGGACAAGATTTATGCACAAGAAATAATTTCAAGATTTAAAACTGATAACAGTAGAAAATAAAATCACCATAAAGAAAATTTATTCCAAATTAAGCATGTTGATGGGACATTCATTAAGTTAAATTAACCATTTAAGATTTTGTCATTTCATTAAGAATTTATTTGAAAGTTAGTTTTATGCTGCCCTACTGGCAATGGTTAGAAGCAAATTGAATTACACAATAGGTCAACTATCATCAGAGTCGATAAGTATGCTATAAGTTGTTTTAATGAGTAGTTGAAATTCAGAAACGGAAAGATGAATTTATAAACAAGAAGATACCACAACAACGGTTGAAGTTGCTAACAGCAGACATCACGTTTTTCAGAGGGATAGAAATCAGAGGAAATGTAGCAAAAAAGAACCGGCTTATAATTTAGTAAATGTCCAATCATTAAATAATGTACAACATGTATAGAAAACTATAAATGTAGATATTCAGTTTTTTAGGCATGCTTCCCACTATATTTAATATGTTATTTTTATCTTAGAAAAACCTATCTAAAAATAGAACAACAACATTTAGAATTTAAGTATCTCAGGTACGTTGTCACTTCTTGCAGAAATTACTGTCTGAGTATATGCCAGAAGAATAGTTCATTTCCCTGTTGAAGAAATATTAGTCTGAATTCTCACAAAAAAAGCCTTTCGTATCTGTAGTAATTACAAGGAAGCTATTATTGATACATAACGTGTTTGAATCAAGACTGATCGTCAATCTTGTAAAGGTAGTTACTTTTTCTTCCTCTCAACAATCAACACGGTGTAATTCCCAATCCGTTGAACTCATCACATACATGACAAGAACACAAAAAGATGGAAAGCAATCAAATGTAATGAGATGATCACTTGAAAAAGTCAACTGTATTATAATACAAATAAATAAAAATGATTATTAAAAATCAACACTAACGATACATATGGTTAGAACAAATAGAAAATTATATTTTGATTATTTACAGTTTCGTGTATATTGATTATTTGTTCTGTCTGCCTACCATCAACTTGTACTTTTGCCTATTATGTGTAGTGACGTAATCTATTTCATTTCATTGTGATTACTGACTCATAAATTGCCTTGATTGGTTAAACATTTTCAATATAAATATGCATGTATTTAGTCTGTGACAAAGGATAATCTTAGACTAAGATGATATTGTTGGATAAATTAATTTTGTTAGTGAAATGGCTAATGCCCGATAGATAGAAGAAGTCTGAGGGTAGAGTTAAAACTTTCGCACAATTCTGTACTGCATTTATTTATTTCGTTTTTTTTTTTCAAATATTCACTAAGAAATATTCATCTGAAAAGTTTAAAGTAGTTTAATTGCTTTATTCAATCAAAGATAGACTTGTTTTTATGAAAGAAAATATTATCATAATGTTTGTCAGTATTACTTATCACTGAAACCTATTGATCTCATAGAAGTAAGTCATTGATGAGAGTTGCGTATTTGGTATTGGACAAAGCGAACTTCAAGAAAGTATATGTAGTAAGCTATTCATTTATACGAGGGATGATCCTTGAGTCTGACAAGAACACCCACTATTCATGATACAGCTAAGATCTACCAGCATACAAATAAATGATCTGATATATAAGAAGGAATAAAATACACATGTTTCAGAGAATTCTAGCAACAAAAACGACAATTAAGCTTTACATTCAAGCTATTACATCAACAAATCGAAAATCACTTTTTCAAATCTCTCACATAGAAATTGTGTTTGTCAGTCATTCCTGTTTATTTCTGATATAATGCTGAAATAATGTAATGATAAACAATAGTATTATGTCTTTTTCTAGTTTATCAGCATATCTTATTACATGAAAAGGAATTAGTTGTAATAGTTTAGAGAAAATGTTAAGACTGCTCACTGAAACTACTTCATTATTGTGTATGCATAATTAGTTTGTATTTATAAGGTTATAACGAAAAAAATGTTAGATCATTTAAACTTGTAATCGACATTGTTTCGAGATATTAAAAAAATAATCATTGAACAGTCTGAAGAGTTGTGAAAAAATGAAAAGAAGGTAAATGTTCACTTAAAAATAATCAGAAAATTGTGAATAAAAACAAAAGAAGTAGTAAAGATTGCTAAATGTAGAAGGGATTCGTTAGTTTCTTTAAAACCAAGATAAAATGAAGGCTCATAGATGTTATCTACTAACAAACCGATCTGGTTTGAAATTGTGAACCGGAAAGGTTTATGATGTGGAAGGTTTTCTTATTTAAAGCACTTTTAAACCATACTGTCTTATAATATAAGTAATTTTAAAAAGCTCCTTCTAGGAAGGATACATGACCAGAATTGCCAAGATGTTCAGAAATAAGACAAGCCGAAGTTTTAAATAAACATGCAGTAAAGTGTATGAAAATATGTTTGGAGAAAACACAGATTTTTGCGAACAATATAACTTGTTTGACGCGAGCAATTATACCGATAAATATGTATTAGGTTGGTCCAAATAGGAAGCTTATTCTCCCCAGACATGCTAATCACTATCTAATTCAGAAATACAGTTACAGACCCTATAAACTCAGCAATCGGTTTATTAAAATTTCCATTGCAGTATCACTTATGAAGTCAATGCTCAAAATTAACAACAATTAACAACTTTACGCGTTCCACCAGTCATTTATATTGCCAATTCCTTTCATTGAATCTGAGAGGATAGATATTTTCGCAGAGTGTCCATCAAGAAATATCTAAACTATGCTTAAAAGTCGTTTCGGTGAAAACTGACCAGAATGTCAAGGTTTGTGAGTGAGCGAAGCTTTTCTACCTGATTAAAAAGACCCAACTTTAAAACTATTTACGCTATCCGTTCGAAGCTGAAATTCTATCATTAATTATTGTTTGTAGAGAGCCGTTAGGTTTTTGTCTCATCAAGTGACAAAGGAAATGACGTCCAACTCATTTTACGTTAGATAACATGTAAGATAACATTTAGTTTTCTCTTTTCATTACAGATGATAAAAGCATTGTCTATTTTCCTCTTTTATAAATAGGACATTTGGATCATTCGGTAAATAAGAGTGTTTTTTTTAATTATTGATAAAGTAACCTATTTATGTATGCTAGTTAATTGACATTTTCTACATTAAAATATATTATTACTTTGCCACGATATTTTTTTTTGTTAGGATTCAGTGATCCTTATTGTATTCTCGGAGTAATATTTGGTCGTTATGTAGGTCAAAATGAAAAGTTAACAACACCTGATTCATGTGTAAAGACTGCAACCACAACATCTAGTCAAAATGATCTAGAAAGTGCACAAACTATACGACCTACGTCGGGAAGAAAGGGGTTGGATAATAATCGTGTGACATTCACACGTTCTTCATTCCGACGTTTTAGTCAATCTTTTAATAAACGTACACAACAAAGTGACAAATTACATTCATCTCATAGTGAATCATTCAAAATATCTGGTACTACATCACCTAAATCTGTAGTGAATAAAGAAGGACATATCCCAGTTGGGATAATGAAATCAACTCAGGTCAAAGAGCAAACATTAAATCCTGTTTGGAACGAAACTTTTCGATTGTAAGCATTTATTTAATTTTTTTTTTTTATCAGTATAGAAGTCTTTTTTGATGTTGAAGATTATTATTTCTCTATTGATATCTATATTTACCATGAAATTTTCAAATTCCTTTACGTTTTATCCCAATAATATAAGAAATCATTGCAGAAAAAAAAATGCACTTAAATACTCATTTGAATTTAGTCTTAGTGATCCATTATCGAATATTATTGATCAAACCTTTGCGAACTAGTTATACATGAAGTAGTCTATTGAGTTTCATATTGTAATTTCCTATCAAAACATATTCTACTAATATTTGTTAGAAAGTTCAATAGGTTCCGAACTTTTTAAAACTTTGTTCAATGTAGACAAACTGTTGACACATGACACAAAACTGTTTATTGAGGAAACATTTCATAGAAAAAAGCACGAAAGTATTACAATTTGATAGTAAAAGGCCAGATCCAATGACTAAGGCGCTTCGAATTCTATCCATCCTCTGATGCATAACGCTATTCTATCCTAACTACTTCATGTAGCAAGAAATGAGGTTTTTCCTCTTCGAATCCTGCTGGGTGCAGGAGTCATGGATGCGCACTGCTGAGGAGTCCCATACCAGGACGAAACAGCCGTCCAGTGCTTCCAGGTTTCTAATGGTGGTCTAATATTGATCGGTTCATGGTTTCAAAAATGTGTAACTTAACAATCTTCACAACCCCGTAATGCAAAGATACATAAAACTCTAAATTTCACAATGAATTTCAAACTATTTTATTTGAATTAGATTATAATATGTTCATTTGATCGACCGAATGTTTGTTGTCTATTCAATCGAACAATTTTTAAAATGTTCCTTGTTTGATTAATTAAATACATAAAGCAAATATCCTGGGAATTATGCTTCTTTGCACAATTGAATAACATTGTCTGCGTGTAATTTTTATCAATGTTTTTTTTTTTTTGAATTATTTGCGTTGTTATTATTTCATCAGATTTTTTTTAAAAAAAAAACTTGCAATTATGATAACATGAATAATTATTTTATTCATATTATTGAATATGAAATAAAATATATTAATAATCCAACAGCTGATTTATATGGCAGATAAACAATGGTCAATTTGTGAAGATGTTGAATTTTTCTGATTTAACTAAAGTAAAGTACTTTCTCCGCAATCATGGATGAATGTCAAGACACATGTAAATACAGTGTGGTTGATTCACATATTCATTCATTATCATCATGCTTCATGCGTAAACACACCGCCTAGTTTGAATGTGAAATGATTTCATTTTTACATTTTAAAATTATAAATGGTTAGCACTTTTGGCTGGTTTATTATAATTTACCTTATATAAACATTTTCTAAAAAAGAATTTTGACCCGAAATGTAAGGTGAAAAGAATAAATGATATATAATAACAAAAAAAAATTTAATGATAATTTTGTTACATAACATCTAAACTGACCACTAGGTTGTATAACTTATTGCCACGCCCTTGAAAATTAATAGATTTTAGCAGCAACATGGCGGCTATTCAGCATATCTAACCAGAAATTTTGTTTTTTGCGGTAGCGACCTACTTAAACCATCATTATTTATATTTTATCTATCCGATAAGAACAGTAGTTTGGTGAAGTTCAAGGGTGAATGTAGACTTATTTTGTAAGAAATTTATATATATATTTCTAAACAGTTTCCGCAAACAATTAATTATAAGTTATACCATGATGTTTTTCATTGGTGTGTAGAGTCCTATGGGAATTTTAGTGACACTAAATTATGCTGTCCTATCATTTCAATGTAAAATTATGTGGAACTTGTTAAAAAAAAATGAAGCCGAAATCGAATCCATTGATAAATGTAAAAGGCATACTTCCATTAACATTTTAAATTATACCCTTGTCTTTACATCTCTAATCGGTGTTTAGAACCCCAAACGTTTTAGTCACAGTTACTGAAATCACTACAACTTCAAATATAAACGTAACCTGCTCGATAAGGGATTTATATATCGTGAGTTGAATTCCTTCATGGAGTCAAGAAGGTGATAGATGAGGATTCTCATACCTTCATAAAATAACTTTATAGTGCTACGCTATTCTTTGCGGTTTCGTGTGTAGACTCTCTTTTCAAATAATGTAATTGTCATGAAACTATCATACACTTTTATTTATTTCGCTAACAAATTGGGTTAACCAGACTTTCGGAATACCATACTGATGAAAACTGCTTTGAAATAGGGGTCTTTCTGAATGGAATCCATGGCTCATGTTTTAGTGAACAGGTCATAATCCTACTTTGATTTTGTGACAGACTAGCGCTTTATGATGGAATCTACCATCGAGCCTTGTTTTTATCTCGTAACATTTAGACCATTGTATTTAATTCTAGTTATTTGAATTTTTGTGGTCGACTAGTTTTGTGTATGATGTAAACATTATCCATCACTATTGGTGATGTTTGTTTTAAATCAAAAGTAACTGAAATTCATTGATAACTACTCATTAGAACTGCCCGTGATAGTTAGTCAGTGATATCCACAGTGAGATCGCTGGTGGAGTTGGAGGTGCACGGTCATTATAAGTCCCACACTAGGAAAAAAACAGCTAAAAAAGAACACGTTTTTCATATTTGGTATTATTTTGAGTTTATCTGTCACCATCTTGTTAACGAGTAACAGTACCAACGCAGTAAATGTGATGTTTTTTCCACTCGAAACGTACCAGACAATTGGATTAAATGTTGGTTGAAACATACAGTTAGTTGATAAATGTCGATACCGTTCTCTCCAAACGTTATCACGTTATTCATTTAGCTGTTCAGTCCAGATAGATCCTAGTTTTTTCAAAGTGTATGAGATTTAGTTCATTTTGAAATGGTTTGGCTTGTCCGGTTGTTGAATGAAACGCGCGTCCAGGATTTTACTGCTAGAAACACTTTATTTATTCAATATGAACATGTCACAATGTCTATATTGAGGTAATCCATACAGAATGCTTATATGCCGACCAAAAACGATCAAACCTCATTCAAAATATCAGCGTCGAGATAATCCAAACCATTTCAGATTAAACTGGAAAAGATCATTTTTTGAAAAGATAATATGTAAAACTTGATTTAGATAAGTAGGTTTTTAAATGTAAATTGTCATATACTTGAATATCTGAAATACTTGGTTCGTCGTTCAAAGTTGATGCTTTGTCAGGAGTTATTCTTCTTACTACTATCTGTGAAAAATTCAGTTTGGATGTAGGGGTAAATGTTATTTTATTTTCAATCGGAGTTATGGAAATTAGTGCTTTTGAACATTGAAATCATTAGGCAATCATTATTAGACCACTATTAGAAACCAGAAAGCACCTGATGGCCGTCTCGTCCTGGAATGGGACTCATCAGCAGCACGCATCCACGACTCCCGAGCCACTCAGGATTCGAACCCAGGACCTTCAGTCTAACCTCTGTACCACTGGGCTGGCATCCAATGGTGTTAATGTCTAACTCTGATAATTTTAATTGAAGAAGTTTTATTGAATCTTTTGTTGTAACATGAAGCTGAAAACGTTTGAGGATATTTTACTTTGATAGGCTTTCGTTAAGTTAAAGTGACTATGTCGGACTGTTTTTATTGATGATCAGTTTTATCTATCACAATGGTAATGTTATGTAATTAACACAGTTTGATTGCAGAATTTTGAGCAGTTGATATTTATGCCATGCTTAAGTATGAGTATGATCACCATGATAGTTAATTAGGTTTTAGTTTTATCCCCTGTTGAGTGAACAGTCTAAAGTATTTTTGAGTTTGAATTTCGATCCTATGATTTACCATTCGTGATTTAGTGAAATGGATTCATTACCATAGGTTATTAACCGTATAACATATGATTAGACTGAATTTGTCAACTGAACCTCTATCAGAAACTATCCGTTTAACAACTAGTTTCAAGTGAGCAGACTATGATTATCTTGATGAGCCAAATGAATTATTATTAACTGATTTGTCATGAGAATGTTGTATGACTACTTAACTCAATCATATAGATCTAAGTATGTGTAAATACCATATAGGCATTTGTTACATTATTTACATAAATCATGTACCTCGATGTGATAAGGAATTTCAGCTTATAAAACGTCTTCTGTGATGATTTCTAAAGATTTAAACACGATATTTTGACATGTTTTATGCAAGATAATTTAGGACAGGTCATTGCGCGCACACACACACACACATAAAAACACACACCGTGTTTTTAGAGAGTACACTAAATGTACAGAATATTTTCAATTAAAATTTTTGTTTCATCTTATCATGTTTCATGGATATCTGATCTAACCAGATTACACAGTTTCAGTTTTTTCTGTTTTCTTTCTCTCTAAACAAAAATAAACAGTATATTTTAAAATGATTTTTATTGAGATTGAGGTTATATTTTATAGCATAAAATAAATAACCTTTTATTCTGAGTCGTTTGAAGATCATCTTAAAATGCGATTATCTATATATGAATAACAAATAACTATAGCCAGTAACAATTGAGACGATGACAATAAAAATAAAGTTGACCATCTTAAATGATACATTATTTTAAGGAAATCCCTTTAAAATAAATTTACTAACTAAACACTGACGGTATTATGTGTAGTTGTATTTTAATGAGTCGAAAAATCGTTCGTTTTACGCCTTTAATTTACACAGAATAACATAACGTTGAAGAAAATGTGAAGAACAACCCTAAGAATGGTCACATTTTAACTACTAGATTCTAAAGTGAAAATCAATACGTCGCTTTTATTGAAATTTAAAAAATATTTAATGAATTCTTGATGATTAGCCATAAACAATGATGTCAAAAGAATTTGGATATCCACATAGTTGTACTATAGAATGTACAGCTACTGTTGATTTTAGTTTGTAGTCCTTTAATGTTTGACCAGACGAAAAAGTTAAACTTTGATTAACTCTATGATATTCGCACAAGAATATGACATAAAATGTCACGTCCAAGTAACCGGACTCTTGATCCTGAACAAACTTACACTGATATTTATTACAGAGTTATGGAGATTGTTACTTTTCACTGAAATTTCCAATCAATCTTTCCAGGTTTCTAATGGTGGTCTAACAATGAAAAGAAAACA